CCCCGAGGCTCTTCCCAACCTCGTAAACCCGCACAACCCCCGGGGCTCTATTTTTTTTTTTCCACATCCAAGGGAGATGCTTCAAGTGTTGAGTTCGAAAATAAACCCCACTGTCTTCGGTGGTTTGATGAATTACATATTGAATGGAAGTGGAAATTCTTGAGTGTCAAAATAGATATCGGTATAGGAAAAAGGTCAACTGGATATACTCGGAGTGAATCTATCGCCCTTATTTTTTTTGGCTTGATGATATCCGGTCATTCGAAATGACCTGCAACAGTTGTGATTACTGTATGCTGATGGATGTTTGAGGAACTAGTGAGGGACAACTTCAAACACTCGAGAATTTAATATGACCGCAATTTCATGAATCTTGAGAGGTACGATTTCTCCTGGTAATATGTATCATCTCCTTTTACAAGCTACGAGCAAAGTTTCCAACCCCCTGGCCTGGTGCCCCTCCACCAACGATATTAAATTGCGATACCGTTGGCAGTCTTCCCTGCTGTCACCAATCCTCATACATCTACCAGATGTTTAATATATCCAATTGAATTCTTACCAGGCATTGGATGCACATGTATGCGACAAGTTATCCATATAGTTGTTACAAAATGCCCGTCCATATCTACCATTCAATTTTTATACCCACAATATCAGTAAAATACATTCACTCGAATCCCATCAGCAGTCTTTCCGGATTCTTGGACGAATTCCCAACTATTTGATAACAAATGCCATTTTTCACGCGAATACATGAATATCGTGGATTCAGTTATCGTGGTAAAGCCATTGTTATTCAGAATTCAGTGTATTCTAGGGGTCGCTGTGGTATTTGCAAAATCCCGAGTTATCAGAATATTCACAATCATCAGCGACTGGTGCCTTAGAACACTCGAAACCGTAATACAGTACGAAACGTGGAAATCACACATCCGATGAATATTCACATGTCAACAATTTTACAACTCTGTTGGATGAAACTCATGTACATTTATGAGTTTGAGCGTCGCGAGGGGTTGGATGTCATGAATTGTCCGGGGTAAGACCAGGATTTTAATTCTCTCATCAGTTGGCAATTGGTTTTCTCTACATGTTTGACGGATAAAATTTAATGTCAGATTTTTTCAAGAAAGATTAACACCAGAAGTCCCCCAGACCCTCGGGTAACCCCGGAAAATCGATGTGTTCCGCGTAAACAACAGTTTCATTACGAAACTCTGAAAAAAAAAAAACAAGGGGTAGAGAATAAAAAAAGGTGAGAAAAGTTGTCTAGAGTTTTCTAGTCGCGATCTCGAAAAAGTGGTTGAGAGCGAAGCTCTTGCAGAACCGACTATATGCACTCTCTTTTCTTTCTCCACTCGAGAGAATCACGAAAGACCAAGTATAAGGGTAGTGAATGAGAGAGAGGGAGAAGTTGGGCATAATTTTACCGTAGGAAAAGTTTTCCACTGGCGAGGGCTTTTTTCCCATTGCCCGGTGTACCACACCGCTAAATTCGTTTCCGAGCACCACCACAACCACCCCCTTATCCCTCACCCCCTTTCACCCCTTTTTCACCCTCTATCCTCTCCTCGTGCCCTTCCTCACCTCTTTCCAACACTGAGAGGTTTTTCCTGGCGGATTCTGCCAAGGTTTTTCCCAAAGAACCGTCTCCTTTCTTTCACCCTATACCTTTCACTCCTCCCTCTTTCACCTCCCCCTTTTCCATTTTCCTCTTATTTTTTTCTCCTTCTCCAGTTGAAAGAAAAATGAATGAACCGAGTTTCTCCTGGGGTATGTTCTCCCCGAGGCGGGAAAGCGTGATTCGGTATGAAAGCGGC